CAATGTATAGTGTACACATCAGACTAATCGAATGTTTACCGACCGATGCAGACCGATCTTTACCGCACAATTTTCGAGAAAAACAAAAACCATCCCCTGCCGCAGAAACTAAGTTGTGGAACGCTGAGATAGAAGTTGGGTGAACCTTTTTCAGTATTAACGTAATTATTAATTTACGATAGATACGAAATGACGCTTGCATTTTGACTAATCCGATTTCGATGTAATCAATTAGTGTGTTGAGAGATGTGTTGCCATCGCAAACAAATAGATAAACTCACACACATAGTGTATATTTGTTTTGGGATAGTGATTGGCCGCTGGTTCGTGCAAATCGGTTGAGAAAGGGTCGAGCAAAGTACTTCTATATCCTTCGATGTTTATTGATTGATAGTTTTGAAAGGAGCAGCAAATTATGTTCGTCTTTTGATCATATTTTGATAAAATATAAAGTAAGCGTCACACTCAAGTACTTTGGTCCCATTAACTCTGGAGAGCGGTACGCGTGTGTGGCACACATTGTGTGCTTTTCATTTCAATCACTTACCTGAACCGAAGACATCGAGCGAGTGTATCTTCACCCAATTCATGTTGCATTGAAATAATTCATAAGAGCCGAGCGAAAAAAAGCCGTTTTGGAATGATGTCTTAGCAGAAGTGTATTTATGGATGATGTGACGAAGCGTGAAGAAAGGCATTTTATATGGGAGAGAAAAGCTGATGAATATTCGATATAGTCGATGGGGGTTTATATTTTGGATTTGTAGTCGTGCATCATGTGCAATGTGTGGGCGCGTATGTGTGTGTTTGTGTGCTACAATGGACCCAAGACGAGACGTCATTATTCCAAATTAATGTCATTCGCAATAATAATAAATGATACAGCAGTGTTGAAGCGTAAAAACAACTGGTTAAACCTATTTGTATGGGGTTGAGTAAATTTTCTCGGTGACCTGAACTTAATCTGGATTCTTTTTCTCTGTGTGTGTTTTTATGCCCTTCTGCCGCTCCCATTCCAGTCTCGCACATCAACGCGGAGAGCATCGCACTTTTCCCTTGTCTGCTGAAGATGTTGTCTAAAGTAATGATTTTTTTTTCGGTCGTTCTCTGATAAAATATCGCCCTGTTGTTCAGGCCGTTGAAAACAAGAAAAAAAAGCTGGATAAAAAACAGAGGCTCAGCATCAAATAATAATTGCCACATCTATTCTACCTGATCGATCCTTCCGGATGTCTCAAATATTTTATGCATATTTGAATTAATAACGAATAAAGTATATTACTAACCATCACATTTCCCTCCATTACAACATTCGTGTTTGACCCATTATTTGAATGAAAATAAAATCGATCCCAATTTTTTCAACATGAACATTGTGAAGTGAGTGGAGTATGCTTGCATAAGTTCTGCTTGCTAAGTGTTCAAAATGCGATTTCGTTTGAATTTTGAAATCGTTTCGTTCTGTGCACAAGCACATCACATGCTTCAAATATTTAACAGGTTTCAAAGTATGTACAAAGTAAATTCCAACTTGCTTATTAAGGCACATTGGACGATAGATGCGGTATGAGCTGGAAAGTGTTCAATACTCGTGAGCTGAAGTACATTCTTGAAAATTTCAAGATTTTTCCAATAAATTCTACTTTCAATATTTGATACGTTTATTTCTTTGAATATTCCGGCAAAACGAAACCAACATCGAACATTGTTAAGGTCATACTGTACAAACATTGCATGTGGCATCCTTTGTTCAGAGAATTACCAAATGCTATGTTTGAATTTTACATGCGCCACATCTATGGTGTACCATAGCCAAAGTGTCGATTTTTTTGTGTTTTGGTTTCGTGAGTTTGTGTTGCTGATTCATAATTCTTCGGATAAATTTTAAAATTACAGCTAATTGAACGCCATTTGCTTGCGGTCCAATGTGTAGAAAGTGGAATAGAGACAGACCACAAACGACCACGCAATATTGTGGCTGATGAATGTGTGTGCGAACCATAGTATACCATTGAGAATATTTAAGTATTCTTAAAGTTACTTAAGTATTAAAGAGGTGACACGAATCCGAATTATTGGTTGGCAAAACGAACGTCAGCTCGGTTTGCTCTGGGTATTTTGCTTTATTGAAATTAAGATTTCACAAGAAGTATTCAGCATTTCCAAATGAACCGAAACTGTGCCAAATGTGGGGTCTGTCGTTCCACAGTCCCAAGTGAAACAATAAAATCAATTCAAATCACTAACCACAAAATGTTTAGCATAAAATATTCAACATTTGCATTTGGAGCAAGACGGCACATAGTTTATGTTTATTATTTGGGCCGATCAATTTTGTGCAGTTACTTGAATCAATTTACTATTTCTTACGAATTTCGCATTAGAAATATTTTCTATTCATTGACACGAGAACACGAGAACATTCCGTTTGGACATGAAAATAGAAATAAATGATTGAAACCGGTGAAAGGATGACGCAGGTCATACATACGCAGGTGAATATAACCATTTCCCACTTAAACCTAATTAAGATGTAAATGCTTGCAGTGCGATATTAGATTTCTTATGAAAGAGCAGACCACACGGTCGAGATGCATTTGGTTTCGCCCCGGTTGACAATCAAATAACGTTGAATTTTGCAAGCAGCTTGCGAACGTGCGTGATTTGAATATGGTTTTGATGAAATGTTCACCGCTGAAAACTTTTGAAAAGTAGAATTTCTTTTGTGATCATTTAAAAGCATTCCACTTGGTTAGGCAGAGACATTCGTTCGGAATTTGTACTGCAATTTATTTTTGCATGCAGTAGGTAAGTATGGCAGAGAACTATGTTCAACAACCAATTTCCCGTTAGTAAGAATGGGGTTGTTCAGCAATGTTTAGACCGTCGTTGACAAAATTGATGCAAAAATCCCACAAAAACCTCCGGTTGTAGATGCTGCTTGTTTTAGATTATGAATGCATGAGGTGCACGCGACATATTTCAGCAGTAGCATCAGAAATGGCAATCGACCGAGTCAAAATATGCACGAGACCGAGTCACTATTCAACAATGTGAAGTGAAAGAGCGCTAAATGTAATTGGTATATGGTTGAGAGCAAAAGTAAGACCGATGTGAGACAACTAAGCTGAAGCGAAAGAAAAAAAGGAGAGAGACAGAAAAATATACGTATATAGACGGTAAAACTCGCAACTGATGACAAAAATGGCTATGACACGGCAACAGCAAGTTCTGAGTCACCGATTTCATCGTCTTATCGTGTGTGCACAATATTCATTTATGAATTCCAAAACGTTGATATTACTTGTTCGACGCAGGGAGAGAAAGAGAGCATCGAATAAGTAAAAACATTGCGTTTTCGACTACTACTACTGGTGCGCACAAAATATCGAAAATCATATGCATGACTTAAATATTTAAATATTTTCGTCGTGTGTATTTTTTATTCAATTGTTTCTGGTGTATATGTGTGTTCAATGTTTGGCTGTCATTACCAGTGCACTTTAGCCGGATTTCGTAACTATTTGAGCAATTCATTTGTCGTTGGTACGTGTGTGCAAATGCATTCGTGATTATGTCGGTTAGTGTATGTGGAATGTGTTTACTACCATTGGATAAAATGAAGGATCTGACTGACTGGCAGGGAAAAAAGGGAAACCGAACTTGTCTAGAGTATCTAGATGCACAATTGCACTTGTCTATTTCAGCAGAAAATGCTGTGAGAAAGAATGAAAACAACCATAATGATATGGTATGATATCGCACCGCATGACTATTCGAACAAACAATTTTCAAGCGGCTGTTTGATCGCACCATCTTCGCATACGTTACCTCATTCCCATTGCATTCATTCAACACATCCATATTTGTTTGCCATACACACACACACACACACACACGTACAGCATAAGGGCGAACGGAGTGTGTTGAACGATTCGTGTGTGTGTGTCTGAGGCAAAGAAGAGAATGAAGCGGCTGTTGGTTTACACATATGGTAGCAATAACGAGCTCCGTATAAATTCTTGCTGAATAATATGTCACTCTTGGGAAATATTCAGCGATTTCACACGATTAAGATAACAGTAATAATTTTTGTTTGGATGTTTAGCGAATATCGATTTATACGTTTACGTTCGACGAACCATTTCCTTACAGCATCGCACAGAATATTGATATCGATGCAATGATACGCACACATCACTTGAGAGTTAAGAGCTTATCGAATCCTATCATGTAACGACCACTTTAAAATTTCATTTCATTTCAATGCGGTTGAGAATACATTAACAATACGCTCGGAAAGTTTTAAACGCACAATGAATTTGATTGACATTTTGCAATGCATTGTCCGATTAATCAAATTTAATGTGATGCCAAGGTAATAACACTTGCGAAATTTCATCCATGTGGTTCGTAATATTCACTGCATTGAAGATTCTTCAAGGTTAAATTACGCTTCTCGCATAATATGAATGAATGATGAAAAGGGGGAATAACGTCTTCTTTTGAAATTAAATTCCACAACAAAAAAGGCATTTTTTTTTTAAATTTCAATTGAATTTTCCCCAGCCAATCAGTTTTGAACAAATCAGGAATAAATCAGTTTTGAATATGGGATTTTATCAATATTTCGTACTGTAAATCATACGAAGTAAAATTAATTTGAGTAAAACAAATTCAAATTTGGCAGTTGTCCATCATAGACATCTAGCGGCCAAAGAAGAAAACCCTATCCAGGAATGCAATTGAGCTTTCTGTGCTTTGCCAATGACTTTATCCTTAAAGCTCTATAAACATTTCCAACGGATAAAATGGAACACCGTCGACCAGCTTTCACTTTAAGGACACGTGAAAAGCCAAGAGCTTTTCAAGGAAAATTGTAACTGCAGTGCGAAATGTCGGTAAAGAAAATACAAAAACTTGTTTATTGTTTTATGTTCATCATTTATTTATTTTTTGCTGTTGCTTTAATCTTTGCAGCAATGATATAGTTTGTTATTTTGTCAGTTTATGATTAATATTAGTTCCATTTCATTATTAACTATTTTTTGGTTTTACTCAAAACCATCATCGGTCAAATATCCCAAAATGAAATGCATCAAATTGTGTGGAAGTTTGCCATTTTGTGTAGCATTCCAATTCCAAAGTCTATTTCGCATGTCTATAATCCAATCACATCTGTTTCGAATGCATTTCAATTCAATAAATGTTTCTTGAACACCTTTTTTTATTCTTATGTTCTCATTTTTTGATTAGATTTCGTTTTTTTTCTCTTGTGGCTTCGAAACTGTTTTACATATCGATTTAATACTCAAATATTAACATTAACATTTCTTACAATCTAAATGATTTGTTATCGTTACACTCTATCTTGGTTTTATGTACAGTTCAAACATCATTTTATATTTTTTTTCCCTTCGTTATACACACCAAATGGTTTCTTAGATTTGACTCTATTATTTAGCAGTTACACTAAATTTAAATATGTACCATTGTCTTATCCTCCTATTAATATAGCATTTTTTCCGTCTTAAATTGGCTACATGAAAAGTGGTGTGTGTGTGTTTTTTTTTTTTTTGCTTCTTTCCTTCATTGTAAACATTTCCAGTCGCATTCAATTTCAATTTACTTTATTTTATTGGCTTCATACCTAACGTTTTTTACTTAGATAAATGTATTTGCTAAATTGTCTTGCCTCCAAAACGAATTTCGTTTTGAATTTTATTTTATTTTTAGAAATATGTGTCTTTTTTTTGTTGTTAGAATAGAAAAAATCCAAACACAAAAACAATGATTAGAAAATCAACTATATTTGTTTAAGTAATGAGATACTTATGGAAGTCAATTACGAAAGGAGTAGTTGCTGTGTGTACAATTCGGCGTTTCAATGATTCGAGTATGTTTTTTCGGATGTTATTCAAGCCACAAAATAGCATTCGATACTCGAATCATCAATTCCATTTATAAATAATTTGATTTCGCACTTAAAAGTTTCGTTTCATTACACAATTCAATATATGTTGATTTTTTGTTCCTTAATTGATGGATGAAAAACCCACTCGGTATTTAAATAATATACTCGATATTTGTTGAAATGTATCGATTGCAATCAGTGTATTTGGATATGTTAGGCGTTACAAGTGTGCTCCTCTCATTTTAGGCAAAAATTTCATGTGGAGTCCACTTCATACAATTACACCCATTGTTCAAAAGATGATGAGCATAGAATGATTTCGTTTTGTGTCCAAACAATGTGTTTTTTTCTTCTTCTTAGTTTTTGTTTACAAACAATCACTGAACAGATTCTGTAATAAAATATAAATAGAGGGTTTTGCTATTGTTTCTTTTTTTTGGTTCAAGTTACATTTTTATAAACCTAATTTATGGATTGATATAAGTGATAGGAGTATGTGTAAATGTTGCTTTTGACATTTGTGTCTTTGGTTGATAGGCTATTTTACTGACATCAGTTCACCAGGTGTATTTCTTTTTCGGATTTTATTTGTGAAGATCATTTCGATTATTTTCACCTTAAAATCTAACAACAAACATTTATTATCTAAACGTCATTAATGCTTAATCGTAAAATATTTTTGTGGCTGTGTACAACGTTGGAATGGTTCCGATTTATTTGTTTGGTTGGTTGGTTTTATCGTGTATGTTCTTTAATCCTTCTGATTTTAAATAGTACGTGTGGTAGTTGATTAGATTAGGTAAAACATTGATATCAAGTGAATGAATAAATCTGATGACATTACTGATATGACTGACTGAGTACAGGAATGGGGACAGATGAATGGGGCATTGAAATGGGGCGTGGGAGAGACAGAGAGAGAGAGAGAGGAAATATGTTTTGAATGTTTTGGGCAAAAGTGAGTGTTTTTATTTGAATCGTGTTTGTAGACCATCACAATGTATTTGGGATATGCTGTTTCCATGTTCATAATTTGAATATTATTCACAAAAAGAATGTATATTTTCAAGTGTTTTCTTATTCAACAACTCAAACCGAACCCATTTTGGCTGGGGAAGTGAAATTTTTATATATTTTATTTTGGGTTTTCGTTCACATTGCTAATTTTGCCGACATTAAAATGTCAATGAGTCTGAGTTCGAGTTTTTAGCTTATCGGCTTATTTATTTATTTATTTTTTCTTTCTATGTTCGGTATGCGAAATCGAAATTTACACGCAACTCTCAGGCCCAGGTAATGTGTCTGTGATTATGTGATTTCGATTATTGTTGGGGTGATTTCGATTCGATTCTTTATTTGTTGAGCTATGATTCATGGTATTGGCGTGCGTGGTTGAGTTGATGCGCGTTGGTGCAATACCGATGCCACCGTTGCCATTGACGCTGCCGCCGCCACCGCTGCTGCTCGTATTGGGCAATAATTGATTGGCTATCGAGCTATTACTTAAATTCAACAGATCGGAATTAATGGCAATTGAACCAAATTCATCGGTGAATTTAGTAGCGTTCGCTTGTTGTCGAAAGTCTAACAAATGGTTTTGTTGCATTTGTGGATTATTTGATGTGGGTGCTGGTTCTGTTGCTGCTACAAATGTGTGGAACTGTTGCTGATAATTTGGTTCAGGGTTTGAATTTAATTGTCGATAGTCTATCGTATTTCGATCGTAGGCCGAAAATGGATTTGTTGCCGACGATAGAATGGTTTTTGCTTGATTGTTGCCAAGCACACCGCCACTCATTGTGCCGGAAAATGATTGCGTTGACTTTGTTGCGATTGAATCATAAATGGGTGGCTGCAATAGCTGTTGCTGCAGTTGCTGTGAGCTTTTCGTTAGGGTTTGTGTCTTTGTTTCGTTGTTGCGACGCAGCGTGCTCGAGTGACTAGATGGAGTTATCTTCGGTTCAAACTCCGGTCCCGATTCCTACGAAACGCGACGAAGAAAAGAAAACATTTGAAATATTATTTATAATCGCATTATCAAAATGACCAGGGCCATGGTACTGTTTTTTTTGGTTTTCTCCTATCATAATTGGAAAATATTATGCCTTTTGGCGCAGAGTACTTACGAAAGTGGCACTGGGACTGTAATTAGATTTCGACAAAAACAATGCATCTGGTCGTAAAAGTGGAGGCGTCGTTGCTGCCTGTGCTGCTTTAAATGATTGTGTACTTTCTGAATCTGCAGAGATTCATGACGTTCATGGAATGAACGGAAAAGAGCGTTAGAATGTGAGCGAGAGCGAAAGAAAGAAAGGCACACACCAGAAGAAAAAGAGCGAATAGTTTATGGAAACGCAATGTTTCCGGTGGCAATAAAATATGTCTGAATGAAAGTGTTCAAAATTATACATACTTTTTTGTGCATTCAAAATGTCCGGTTGCTTTTCGATGCCTTGTTTTAACGTGTATGCGACGACATAGCGTTGTTGACCAGTTCCCATATCCAACGGTGCGGTTACAGTCATATCCATTCCTTAATGGCCCGACAATACAATACGATTCACAGGGAGACGAAGCAATAGAAACGGCGAGCAAGAGAGAAAAAAAATAGTTGAGGTTAGTATGCAAAAAGTAGAGAGAAAAAACCAACGACCTCAACCCTAAAAACATGAATGCAGTAAACAGAGCGGAGAAAAAAAAACTTACCCAAATGCTTATCCTTATCGTCACAAATGTTCCGTGACACGGGATCGCGTCGTTTACGTATCGCCAACACCACGATCAATAGCACAGCGATGCCGATAGTCAACAATGTTCCAGTTAATAAAGCCGCTAATGGTAAAATCGATAAACCGAGTCCGCCATCTATCGACAAACAGGGAACAGAGAACAGGAAAAATTAAATAAAACGAAAACATTTCGAACATCAACTGTTTATGCATGCACGAAACAACTGTTTTGTTAGCTATGTAAGTGTGTGTGTATGTGTATGTGTTTGAAAATAATTTCAAATTAAAATTTGTTTGCATTTTTTCGCACTCGCGTATTAGGCAATCACAAAATACCATATAATTTTGAAATGTTGCCAGCGAGAGCATTTTTGGTTTTATCTACGCGCGTAGGAGAGCGAGAGCGAGTATGAATGAGCGAATAGGCAAAGTGTATTTTGCAAATATTCCTACATTGTTCAAGAGCACAAAGTGTATCATTTTTTGGTACAATGTTATCAGCAGTGAAAACGAGCACCAGGAGTCAAAACATAAAGAAATCTTTGGGTTTGCGGAAAATTTGATGTAATTTTTTGTGACTCTCTCTGTGCAAAATTGAAGCTAATGACCGCAACGAAACAACCATTCGAGAGAAAACCGAATCAGAAACTCAATGTGCGTGGAAATATCCAAAAGTGGCAGCAGCAGCAGCAGCAGCAGCATGACAATAGAACATATAATTTTGATACTCGAGAGGATTAAACTTGTTCAGAATACGGAAAAGCACATAAAGTCGCTTGCAACATTTTAACTAAACAATATTGTTGTTTCCGCTTATGTTGTGGCATGCATACGAATGTCAATCGTACACATACACACACAGTTTTGCCATAGATAATCAATATGGAAGCTAAACAAAGGTATATTATGCTGGAACAACAATAGCTCATACAATCGCTCGGTGAATGAACGGAGATCGTCATCCTTGCACATTGCAACACTAGCATGCGGATATTGTGAGTGCTGCGAGCAACGATGACATCGAACCAAACTTCTTATAAAAGGAAAGCATAAAAATAGAAGCATCAAACGAGATGACGGTAATAAAATGCAATTTTCTGCCGATAGTCAAGCAAAGCGTTGTTCTCTGTGCATGAAGCCGAATTTGGTCGATGCTGCTGTCGTCATCGTTATCATCATCTCCGTCGCTAGCCGTGTACACACAAATCACGGACAATTTTATAGAATTTGTCTATGTTAATGATGTGATGTGTTGTAGCACGGTATTATATAAATATGTTGATATACCGGTTACAGATGGATAGCAAGAGATAAGTCTATGGATTCCTTCGATGTATCAGGCTACCATTACAGTGGAAAGCACTTTGCACATATAACAAAAAAGAAGATGCCATAAAATTAGTTTCGCTTCTTCTGGCTTTTAATTATACTCTGGTTCTTTATCGCCTTAGTGTTATAACTTTTGAGATTGAAGCTGCGATTGAAATTAATACAAACGGTCCATATAACTTTTTCTTCCTTTTGCTGTCCTACATTTTGGTTTATGATTCATTTCATAATTCAATGAGAAGCCTGATTGAAGTACTTTGCATACAATTTTTGTGTGTCATTTTCCCGAAATCCTTCAAACAACAGAAATTGTCCATAATTGTAATTTCAAAATGGAAATCCATGAATTCCATGCGGCTCAAGAAGGATTTCTCTGTTTACTTCTTGAAAAAGATTTTTGAATTTTTTCCATCACATCGTTTCGTATGCAATGCGACAATTTACATTTAAAGTGACATTCCAAGTGTGTAAACAATATGAAAACGCAGTGATAAAGAACGATTCGCTGGCTTTTGAGTGGGCGTTTTATTCAATTTCAACTGCACAGCACACAAATACACAACATTCATTGCACACCAAATGTAATTTAAATCGAAGAAACATTGGTACATTCCTTAAGTTCAAGCATCCGTTAAAGATATGTTCGTTTCTCGTATTTGGGCGCCCATGATTGAAAATCCGATTTTCGACATGTTTTATGTCGAACAAAATACTTGTATCGTTTAATTGGCATTTCAGAGTTTCGGAATCGCTTACGAATTCAATTATTCATGTATAATTCAATTGGACGGTAGTATCGATGGCATATCAACTTATGAACAGATTACCATAACGCATCAAAGTCAATTACTACATCGATTCTCTATACATTCATATACTTGTATTGTATCTGACAGAGTTTTCCAACATTACCCAATAGTTTGCCACCGAAAATTAGTTTGGTCGAGAGATTTCCACATAATTTATGTTCATTCGATCGTTTGACATAGAATCGAATACCAAGTGTTTGCTGCATTCAATGAATGCCAATTAATATCTCGGTTTTAATTAATAGAATTCCGAACGGATGTCGATTTTTGGTTGAAAACTTTCTTGAAATTCCTTCGAAATGAGATCGGAATCGGGAGCGAATAAATTCAAAATGTAAAAAATGGACAGATATGAGCAATTTATGATTTATTGGCTCTAATTCAATCGAAATGGGGTGCTTGAAAGTGGAATGACAACAATTTTTACGAGCAATAATTGCGATCAACCTAGCGAAAACGTTGATTTGTTTGAATAAATCATTTGAAATGTACGACAGAGAGAGAGAGAAAGAGAAAGAGAGAGAGAGAGAGAGAAATTGAAAAAGGTAAATTCAGCAGTTCAACAAAACAAAATATTTGAAATAGAAAGAGAAAAAAAATTGAATCACATGAACCATACTATTTCTTCCGTCGACATTGCACTTATATATTTTTCCTTTTTAGCGTTCGCATTTTGCCCTGTTTGCATAGTAAATTTGTATGTGTCAGTATTTGTTTTTGATTTAAATATCTGTCTGATTTTGTGTTCTATTTACTTTTAAGCTATAAATTATTTTCCAGTGAATTCATTCAGAAAGTGAACGCAGAAGAAAAACACCAACTTTCATCGTAACCACGGCAACCAGGGAGAGGAAGTCAGAGAGAGTCAACGGTGCACAAGCGGCAAAGAAGGATATAGACACAGAGCGAGTAAGCAAAATAGAAGCGAAACATGATTAGACTAAATGGCAAAGCATAAACGAACCGTACAAAATTACCGTTCACACTGCCATGCAAACGGCAAAGCATTTAGAGACAACGACGACACTGCTGCCGAACAAAACGGAGGAAAATAAATAAACAAACAAACAATTATGCTGCATGGATTTGCAAATCCGAATGATTATGAAATTGTATTTCGGGAAAAATGTATACATTGCCATAGCATGATGTTTGCTCGCCAGTAATGGGTCTCTGTGTCTGTGCTCCAATGTTGTCTCTTCTTTTGCTCTCTAAAAATACACGATTTCAATCTCGTTTTTCACTTTGTCTTTAAAATGAAAAAAAAATCATTTTTTTTTCTCCATCATCCACAGTTGTTGTCATGCGATTTCTTCGGTCTTTAAATAGTTCCATTTGGATAAATGGAAATGGGCGCAAAAACGCCAAAAACACGATTGGAAACGTGCGCCTTCGAGAAGCACCGAAGTCACTGTGATTTATACCAATTGCTCGACTGACTCGGAAATTGCGTATTTCTTTTCATTGGCGCGTAGAAAATGTCGGCAACGGAGGTGATGCTTTTCTTGACAAATTCAGTGAAAACTGTAATTTATTTAAATCATACATCATTTAACAGAACGGAAGTTAGTCAAATGTATTGAGTAAATATTTGGCTAAAAATATAAATTATGCAAATTCCGACAATCGCTCCATTAAGTCAAAATAAATAACTGAGGTGTTCAAACTTGTGAAACTGCAAGGGGTGAACATAATGCATACCGGGCAACGCAGCCAACTTCACGTTGGTTACTACTGAAACCCATTGACGTATGCTTGTGATTGAAAAACAAACAAACTAATGTTAACCAAATGAAAATTAGTTCCGAAAAAAATTGGAAAAAAAATATCCAGAAAGAGTGCATGTTCCACTTATATTTAGCCAAATTAAAAAAAAAATCGTTGGTTTTGTTTCGTTACAACAGTGCTTTAAAATAATTTTTTTTTCAATATCTTCATACTTGCATTCTAATCAAAAAGCAAAATTTTGTAGCGAAACAAAACCTACGTGTTTTTAAAAATTTGGCTAAATATATAAGTAGAAAAGGTACTCTTTCAGGAAATATGTTTTCTATTTTTTTTTTGAAACTACTTTTCATTTGGTTTTAGTTAACTTCAATTTGTTTATTTTTCAATCAGAAGCATACGTCAATCGCAACGCAAAGTGGCACAAGCTTGTACCATTTTTCGCATACACACGCGTATGAACGCGATGATTAGATGCAGAAAATGGGTCATGCTTGTGCCACTTTGCGTTACGACTAACTCTAGTGGACCGGGCAACCGCTTTGACGTGGCGCTGTCAACAATGTTGCCCCATTTATTCACACTTTGTGAAACTGTCGTTCCGTACATCTCAAGTGTTGGTTGCATTCAATCTTCCCAAATCGCATTTCCTTCATGAAATGTTTCACCCTTTTTTCTACGTCGAATAATAATTAACACAAACGAATTGAGTGAATTAACATTTTTAATCAACAACACTATAACACGGAGGCATTCTCCGTTTAAAAAAAACAGAATCTTCGTTTTTTCTTTGTTACTCAACTGAATGCTCATCAAGAATGTTGTTCATTTTATGTCAATGGAGAAAAAAAAGTCATCCACATTACATCCGGGCTGGAATTCTAAGTCATTCCACCAAAATCGTTCGGAATTATTTTTTTCGTACATAAGACCATATTGGAGTGAAAGAGAGAGATTCCACTATTTTTCAACGTGCCACCGGAATTATTCCGATAACTCAAGGAAGAGTGGATTGTGTGAGAAATAATTCCGGTGGCACGCTGAAAAATAGTGGAGTCTCTCTCTTTCACTCCAATTCCGAACGATTTTGGTGGAATGACTTAGAATTCCAGCCCCGTACAATTCTGTTTTCGTATTAAAACCGTAAAATATTTGCAAGTGAAAAAAGGCCAAGGCGTAAAAAGGAAACCGAAATCCCACCGCATTCTCAAGATTCCTGCTGCAAAATCATTTCATCCCTACCGACGATTCACATTGATATATCCAAGGCGAG